CTACTCTGAAGTCACTCCTAAAACAAAGTTTTGCTTTCTCCCACTTTTGAGCTTGCATCTCAGGTTACTGAGAGGTCAGGTTACCAGTCAGGCATTTCCGACAACCAAATATAATTTGTTCTCTGAAATAGCAGTGCAGGAGGCAGATCCTGAGGTTTAGTTACTGATTTATAGCATCCTTTCTTCGCATAATGAGACCCTTCACATCAAAAACTCACAGAATAACTGCTTTTCTGAGGTTATCTAATTCTTGCTTTCAAGAAGAAATACTCCAGTTATTTATAGACTACATGTTTTCTCATGTAGTGAATGTCAGAATATTTTCTAAAATCAGAAAACTTCCTTAGAAATCAACTAAATAAATTTCCCCTGAAGGCTTATTTACATGGTGCAATGGTTAAAGTGCTCAGCTGTTAATAAAAAGGTCAGCAGTTCGAACTCACCAGCTGCTCTGAGGGAGAAAGATGTGGCAGTCTGCTTCTGTAAAGATTGCCAGCCTTGGAAAACCTATGGGACAGTTCTACTCTGTCCTGTAGGGTCTCTATGAGTCGGATTCTAATGGACTGCAGTGGGAATCTCATTGTTTCAATCCTTGGATCTCTTTTCTTCTGGATCTATGCCAATATCCTTGATGATCTCAACCAGTCTTAAAACCAGTTGCTGTCGAGTTGACTTTGACTCATGAAAACTCTATGAGTGTCAGAGTAGAACTGTCTTTCACAGAGTTTTCAATAACTGACTTTTTGGAAGTAGATCACCAGGCCTTTCCTTCAAGGTGCTTCTGGGGAGATTTGAACCTGTAATGTTTTGATTAGCAGCTGAGTACGTCAATCTTTCCACCACCCAGGGATTCCCAACCAATCTTAGGGCTTTAAATAACAATCTCAAGTTAACGACTCCCAACATTTTATCTCCAACCCATACTTTCCCCCTAAATTCCAGTTATCAAACCTGCTCAACAGGAAACTTAATAGGTTCCTAATTGAACACTCAATCATTCTCCCTTGAATATTTTCCTCTCCCAGTCTTTCCCATCTTGGCAAATAGCACCTTCATCCTTCCAGTTGCTCAGGCCAAGAATTTTAGAGCTGCCTTTCATCTTTCTTTCATACCCAATATCCAATTCACCAGCAAGTCCTTTAGAGGTCTTCCTTCAAAAATATATCTATAATCTGGCCATATCTCACCACTTTCACAACTATTATTTTGATCCAAACTGATGTCATTGTTTGTCTGGATTATTGCAATAGTCTTATGACTTGGCTACCTCATTCTTCCTTTGTCCTTGTATATATTCACAGTAGCTATGGCGGTCCTTCTAAAATGTAAGCTAGATTATGTCCTCTTCTACTCAGAACTGTCTAGCAGCTTCCCATCTCATACCAAGTTCAAGACAAAATCTTTACAATGATGTGCACTACCCTACACAGTCTGGCCCTGCCCCTTCTCAGTTATCTCTCTGACTTCACCATCTACTACTTTCTCATTTTCATTTGGCTCTTGTCACACTGCCCAGCTGTGCCTGAGTACACTGGTCAGGCTCAGGACCTTTGTTCAGGCTGCCGTTTCTGCCTGGGATGCTTGTCCCACAGACTTCTGCATAGTTTGCTCCTTCACACCTTTCAGAGACTTTGCTCAAATGTCCCTCTTCCCCGACCCCACCCCAATTCCTGAGCCCTCTTCTCTGCTTTGCTTTTCTCCACAGCCCTTATAACTGACACTACATATTTGTTTCTTGTCTAGCTACTGGAATGTAAGCAGTATGAAGGCAGGGCATTTTGTCTAGTTTCTTCATTGCTATAACTCAAGCTTTTAGAATGGTGTCTGGTACATGATACACAATAAATATTTGTTTCATCTATCAATCAGTCAGAGATGAGGAAAGCTGCATATCATCCTCCATGGACTGCCACTTTTAATAGTGTTCGTCATAGTAACTAAGACATCCATAAGTCAGCAGATTTTGAAAATGCTGTATTCTAACTTTACCGACTAGTGAGTAAACATTTAAAGATTTAGCATTCTGATAGCCTCACTGTGCATTTCACGTCATATAATTTGTTAAGTATATAAAGCATGAATCTATGTATTAATTAATAGACATCTGTATTGTAAATTGAGCTCTGATTTACACAATTGGAAAGGAGATGCCTCAACTTAAGTATTCATAATCATAATAAATATTAAAAAAATTTCCTACAGAAAACAAACTTCTTAACATAATTAATTGTGTGGAAACTATTGAAATAAAATATGAATTGCCGTTTTCCTAAATTTTGATCTTTTGCTCTG